TCGGCAGCCTCGTCCCCGACGTCATCTAAACTACGGCGCTTTGACTCCCAGAGGCGGAAGCGAAGAATCCGCGAGTCGGACCCGGTTGGAGAGGAAAATGACCGGTTTGACTGGATCGGGTTTTCTTGTGAAGTGAAGTGGGAGAGTCGATACAAATGGAGAGAGAAGGAAGTGAGAGCTAGATATGCAGGAGAGAATAGTGATAGTTTGGTACTGGAGATGGAGGAAATTACGAGAAGACCACTAATTTATGTATTTCGCGTGTCCTGGAAATGCGGGTAGCACACGTGTTAAGGTTCTTTTATTGGAGCCGGTGAGTTTAAAATCAAATTTTTAATAAATTTAAAATTAATTATGTAATTAAAATTGATCGTTGATTTTGACTTGAATTAAAAATTATTAGTAAGCTTTTTTGTTGTTTAAGAATGTCTAGCATATCTTACTTGGCAGAGTTCATACAAGAACAAATAATTTGACCCGCCTATCTATCAATCAAAATTCTATATTTGAAAGTACAAATTATATATTGCTATAACCTCTTTCGTCAATGTTCCAAAAATTACAGGAAAGAAATTAATGAAAGCATAATCAATGACGTAATAAACAGAAATGTGATTTTTACCACTATAATACACACTGAAATGGACAATGGCATTGAAAAATCACCAGCAAAACTTGTATTCCTATCAGCAGCTGAGTTCCCAGCATACACATAACCCACCAAAATGCAAGGAGGCATTTTCAAACCTCCGGCAAACCCTAGCAAGTGATGCCGCTTTTCTCTGTGCTCGTTTCGTCCCCGTGAACAGTAATCTCTGAAGCAAACTTGCCAATGCTGGTGCCTTCAACGCCTTCTCCATTGCACCTGCTCCACCACTTTTACATATTTCAAGTATGCTGCCACAGCATTCTCGTTACCCCTTGGAGTGCCATGTCGCATCATTCCAATCAAACCTGAAACTGCCATTTCCTCGTTACCAACTGCTTCAGCTCCAACTGGCTGACGAACAATCAGGGCCAAGGCGCCTGCTGCTTGTTCAGAGACACCTTCCTTTCCTAATGCCCTGACTAGCGCAGTTATAGCTCCTGACTCGATCATTCTCACACAATTCTTGGTGTGTGTAGATAGATTAAATAGGGCTGTTACAGCATCCTTTTTCCCTCGAGGCGTCCCCTCCAGCACCAGTTTGGACAAGGCTTCTACTGCCCCATCTTCTGCTATTCTTTTCTTATATTCATGAACAGCAGAGAGACTGAATAATGTCACAGCTGCATTTTCCCTTGCCTCAATTGTATGTCCAGATCTTAAAACTCTGGATATTGTATCCGCCATCTGGCGAGTAATGGACTCTTTTTTTATTCTTTTTATGCTTCCACTTTCCAAATTCACCCTCCTCATCCTCAAATCTAAACAGCAAGAACTTACAATGCCGCATTAAAGCCATAAATCCATTAAGAATCTGGACAGTAGGCTCAATATCCCCATCTTGATGCACAACCAGCTCCTCCAAAAATTCAATCTCAATTCTACAACTTTTGGCATCGCAAATTGCCAATTTTTCCACAAAAAAGGAGCGCAATTCTTTAGGATCAGGAATCCTACCATTCTCAAATTCGTTCAAGAAATCATAAAGTTTCAACCTCAAGGAATCATCATGCTTATCAATCATCAACTTTGACTTTCTTGATTGTTCTTGTAACAATTCAACTTGTTCTTTTACATCTTTGGATAAATTAACTTCATTTGAGGGGATAACATCCAAGAGGGTGGAGATTTCCTGGTTCAAATCATGGAAATACCCCGAGATCGATTGGTTTTTAAGCAGGAGCCATAATTTACTCGACGATTTAATATAATTAAGCATGATTTTCGACCTATAAAGTAGACGGTACATCTCCTTGAAGCATAACAACGCTGTTAAAGCCATTTTAGACAATCCCATCTCGCGAAAAGAATTGAAATAGACATAATTCTTCCAGTTACTTTTTACCACTGTAATCTTATACGATGACATCAAGGTTTTGTTCTCGAGAATTGAAATAGACAGTGATTTTTTATTTCGATCAATACTTCGACCACTAATAAAATACATATCAACAAAAAATTCAATATGCTAGTTCAAGCCTATGTTGGTTATTGTTAAAAATCAAATCTTAGTATATTTTGATAAAAGTCGATGAAATATAAAGCTAAAAAGTTGATAAGAATTGTAGATTCTCATAAAATACGTGATTAAATTAATTATTGACTTTGATTTCAAATTTATAAAATTTTTTACCCAAATCAAACATAATTGTGCATCGATTTTCAATCAATTGAAGGGTTGACTAAACTAAAGTATGCTAACTTGGCATTTGGGATAGAAATGGAAATGGCATTCTTTTGTTTGCTTTGACCACAGTGCATTAGATTCAGTATTCAAGGCCAAGAATTTCTCTCGTGGCATAGGATTCTGTCTCAGAAAAATGTGACTCTTCAATGGCTAATAAAAGTTCCACATCAACCGAGTTGGGATCACTTGATATTTAGGACTTGTTCATTATGATTTTTTTGACTTATTTGCTCAAATTTCTATGAAACTTTTTGTGACCAACGTGGGACTAGGGTGTCAATATATGTCACGTCGTCTAAGTTTGGCATCGATAAGCCATGTTATGGATCAACACGTCCCTCTGAAAAGGTAATGCTGAGTTCGACTACGAGAGATCACAATTTGCATATTGCAATGTAGATGGACCTATATTTGTTTTTTCACGAAAAGAATTTGTAAAAATTAGTTCTTAAAATTTGTGTGAACCCCCAACATGTGTGTGTGTAAATTTTGCCCATGCAAACGCATACCTGAAAATGTTTTCGAGACTTTCGAAGTAGGGATGACAATAGGGCAAGACGATCACCGTTCAAGTAAAGTCAACAGGATTCAATATGATGTTTACATTTTTAAGTTACAAGAGGTAATAAAAATATATAGCATATGTTTGGATTTTATTGCAAGTAACTCGTAATTTATTTGAACCATTCTAGTCTAGTTATTAGATTCTTGTTCAAACTTGTGATTTTTATTTTGTTTTAAAGAGGTATAGGTTCGCCACGTGGTTGGAAGTCCAAAGCTTATTCAAACGGTCAACTTGGGCACGTGGGCACTTGATACTATTATTCCCTCGAGCTATGCTAGATGTACAGGATAATTTGCCCATTTTTGTACAAATGCCAGGTTTCAACATTTAGTTGGTTTGTTTTAATTTTTTTTTCCTGCCAACATCCAATCCAAAAAAGCCATCTGTCTCCATAGCAATAATCTGGCAACATTATTCTGTACAAGTGACTTAACACTATTCCCCATTATAAATGTAGAAGAAATATTCTTAGTATACATAATATATGTACATAGATGTATCCATATTCCTCATATGGGGTGGGGTAGACCGACCGACCACATGAAAAATTTAGGTCCAGCTTCCCTTGGGACGAAGGAAAACTGAAAATCAGCTTTTGAAATATTAATTTTTCTGACTAATTCATATTATGCTCTGTTTGTAATTAAAATAGAACACTTGATGTCTATTATACGTCAATTGATGGAACGTTTGACTTCTTAATGGGAAATTTGAAAAGTTACAACCTTAATTATTAGTAAGCCTGGCATCTAGCTGTTTTGGACCAATCACGAGATGAGTAGTATACATTCCGTAACACATCACGAACACGTTTGGATGAACTTCTGTTTTTGTTAGGATTCCCTGGCTGGTTTAAATTCCATGAAAAATGTCACATTCGAGAAATTCAATTTTTACTTTAACTGTTTGATACAAAAGTGAAAATGAAGTTCGAATTCCAAGTGACAACCGCTTTAAACTTGTTTTTTTGTCAATTTCATGAAAAATGCATTCATATGGAGCACTTGAATTTTTATTTTCCAACTTACATGGAATTGGAAAGCCTTTGCACATTTGCCAATCAAGCGGACCCCAATACTTCTTGAAAAAACTACCTAAAATTAAGTTCCTCTACAAAATTCTTCTACCCAGAAAAAGTACTTAAAAAATTTATTCAAACGAATTCAAAAGCAACTTCTTAATCTCAAAAGTAAAGTTAAATTGTTCAAAAACCTTGCCAAACGAGTCCTACATATTACCTAGCCTTAATGGCGGGTTTAACATTGATCATTCAAGCACCTAGGTCCACTAAGATAATTTGAGACACACATAATTAATGATCGCATATTCGAAACATTAACCATTAATCTCCCGTGGATTTCAAAAAATCTAAAACCCTCGCCATCTCTAGAATTCAAAATTAACCCCATATCAAGTCATCGAATAACAAAGTATACAACCATGTTCTACAAGAAGTTTTTCTTTCAACTTCATTTTGTGCTCTCATAAGTACATCTTTAAAACTTCTTGTAAAATGGAGTACTACACAACATCGTATTGTAATGCTTTTGCGCTCGAAAAATTAACATATTCAAACAATTATCATATGCCTCCACACAGTGAGCAGCAAAAAACTTATTCCCTTCCCTTACACAGGGAATGATTCCCAGGCTTTACACTATTTTAGCAACTCGTTCCAGGCCGAACATGCTTATCCCATAACATTCTACACAGTATTGGACAGTATAATAAATAAGATTTTAAATTCTTTTTCTTCCTTAATATCGTCCAATCTTGTAAGGCTACCTTGCCAAACAAGCCAATACTGTGTTACAAGCAAGAACGAAACACATTTGCATTTATCTCATTTCATGCTTTCAGCAATTTAAGAGCCCTTAATCAATAGTCGGCTTAATTTTCAACCTTGAAGGTGAAAAAACTCGATAAAAGGGCAACTAAATATTCATCAAGAAAACCTATAAAGTTTTATTTGATCTACTTCTACTTTATTCTCATTGAATAGGATATGATTAATGAAAGACCTAAACATAAGTAAATCTAAGTCATAGAACTGAATCAGCATTGAAACCTTTCGAATACATCTAGTCGTATGGTTTCTTGTTTTACCTTGGAGACCTACCGGAGAGACACCTTCCACATGAGACAAATTTCAGCAAAGTTTTAGGCTTCCTCGTTCTGATTTTCAAGCGCAAAAGCTGCATACACAGATATCCATGAGTTGAATCCACACAAGCAAATTATAAGCTCTTAAAATCAGTCACTTGCCCATGAACCATTTTTAGTTCCAAACTGAAAGAACTAGGTGTACAATTTTCAAATTACTAGAAAATTACTACTTAAAATCCTCAACCGTTCACTTCTCTAAACCAGTCAGTGGATGATTTCAATCAAAATAACCATTAAAAATTAAAATAGCATGCGAGTCTCCCATGTCTGACTTTTTACATGGTAAAATTGTCAGCCCACTAAAACCTCTGTTTATTTCACTTCTTAATGGCCAAATGGTTACAAGGCGAGACATGAGAGTCCCGCCATTTTAAACAGCAATTTGGTAGGAAAAGTCCACCGGAAAATGGTGCTGTAGAAGCAAGAAGTTGAGGATTTAAATGTTCCAAATGAAAGGTCATGGTGTAACTTGCTTCAGAAACCATAGGTTGGTGAACCTCCGCCGCAAGTTTCTCATCCTTCCCTTGAGCAACCGGCCTGCCCATACGGATATATAGACTGGATTTGGGACCAAATCATGCATAGAGAATTAATCACAGGGTCCATAACATTAATGATGCTGATTTAGGATTTTTAATTTTTAATCGCTCCTAGACAGCTGTATTTATTCATTAACTAATGATAGGAATGGAAATAAAAACACGAGCTGCCTGTATACAAGTTTTTCTCGACAAGAATGCAACAAAAGAGGTTATGCTCACAGGATTGTATGCAACTGCTTCTATCCGAGCAAACCGTGAAAATAATGCTGAAGTGCAAATATAGGAGGAAAAGAACATAGTATGCCTTCTGTAAATCAATGCGATTATCATTCATAATCCCGAAACATAAGAAAACCTGAAACACTCTATCAAGTTTTAAGCACATTATAAAAAACAACCAAATCTAAAAGCTTGTTTTATAATCTATATTTACCTTTCGACGGGTTACTCTAGGAACATTCCAACAAAGCAAGCCTCTTGATCTTGGTTCCAAGCTCCTGCAAAAGAATGCGTACCAGATGCATATCAGATTATACAGAAACATTCAATATCAGAAAAATATCATGGTAAGAGTACTTGTTCGGGGTGTTTTTGTTGTTTTTTGACTTGTATACGCACCCAGCAGATAAGTGTCATAAAATTTGACGATTGAAAAAAAATATTACATACAGATTTTCTTGTTCAAGTTTTTCAGCTATAGAAACAGCTTTGCGCTTTGACCATCCACTTTGTAGTGAACATCCTTCTGCCTGCTGAATTACATGAGCAAGGGATACCTTGCCTCTAACTAGGCTTAGACTCTGATTTCTCTCACCTAACTTTCGTCCATCTGCAATAGAAATCCCCATATTTCTCTGGTCATAGCGTGCCTTTTCATTTTTGGGTTCACCTCCTTTAGGTTCTCTCGGAGAAGCTTCTACTTCAACAATTTCAGTCAGACCCATTTCAGTCGTATCAAACTGGGCTTGAGACAAACCATCTCTACTTTGCTGGAGATTTCTTATATCATTGTGACCTGACCTAGGCATCCCTTTACTGGCAAGTAGACGAGATGAAATTTCCTGAGATGCAGGTAACATAATTGGTCCTCCCCTGAAATTTTTACTTGATTCACATCTGATTTCAATTGTCACAGGGGTCCGAAGAACTGACTGGAAAGCTTGTAAAATGTGCTCCCTGAATTTTTCTGCCTTAGATTTTATCAGCTGCGAACTGAACATCAATTGCACTGTGGGAGCTGCAAAAAATACATTTTTTCAGACAAGCAAGAATTTGTTATACAGACAAAAAGAAGTATTTCATGAACTAAACAAGTCTTATTCCAGAGGCATTCAGATACCAATTACTATCTCAAAATCCAAAAGAATCATAAACTGGATGTCAGCGAAACAATTAATTGTCACAAAAGTCCAAACCAAAAGGGCAACAGAAAAAACTACAGTACATCTGACTTGAATTCCATCTTTGATGGACTCAAAAGCCTCTCAATTTACCATGCACAGAAAATTGTTTCTATTAAAATTGAGTTTAAAAAAAGATCCATGCAAATAACTAGCTGAAATACAAGTGGATACGTATGGAAATAGTGTAAATGCGTACTGCAAGTTAACCTTACCTGCACCGAAACAGACTGAGATCAGCTTTCCTTCTTGATACAGAAACTCTTTTATGCTATTTATTGGGATCTTATGTAACACATTCAACCAAATTTCTCCAATTTCACAACCAAATTTACTCTGTAATTGCACTCCCATTGCTTTATTTTTATCTTCTGAAGCACTGTACACCTGTTGGGATAATCCATCCATGCTGATACCCTTAGCACTATGATAAATATCCCTGGAACTTCCAGGTTGAAAATTAGGCACTTCAGTATGTTTGACATTACTTTTCCATGGTCCATCTCTCAAATCAAAATTACTTAATCCTGGGAGACTATGATTAAGACTACTATCGGCAGAGGAGTTGCGTAACATATACTGCTGATCGGGAGCTAGTTGTAGCAGAGCAGCTGTCAGCCAAGTTATTTTATCATTCGACATTCTCAGCTGCTTTTCAGCTTCAGATAGTGTTTTCAGAGCTTGACGGAGTTTTTCCATATCTTCTTTTGATACTGAAAATAAAAAAAAATTCTGTTCAGTTGAGAAAAAGAGAGGAATTGAATAAAAGATGAGAAATTAAAGTGAGGTCAGCTTACCTAAATATTGAAACTTACGAATTTAGAATACAAAAGATTGGACATCATACATATTTTTTCTTTTTTCTTTTGAATGGGAAATTGGAAAGAAATGAGAAAGGAAATGAAAACGTGGAAACCTTAAATGTGGAGGAAATAATGCTGCATTATTAGAAGTCATAGAATATCTTATTTGAAGTATTTTAGGAAGTTACTAATCCTTGTTATTTCAGCTATGGAACTACATCCATATCCTCACTTCCGAAATCCGACATGGGATATTAGACATTGACATAAATTATATGAAGAGACCAAATGGTCCTGGATAATTAGACTCACATGCTTGCCGCTGGAAAAACTTCCTTCTAGGCCTTTCTTTCATAAAATCGTAGCTTCCAGCCAAAATATCAGTTATGACTGTAGCAAGTTGCGACATTAATGCCAATGGTTCAATACCAGATTCCATGATCTCTCTCAAATTCTTCACTGTATTGACCGTGTCTGCAGATAATGCTAAATCAAGTAGATCTACTAACTTCTCATCGGAAATAAGCCCAACCTGTAAGACACAAAAAAAATTGTATATATTTTGGATGTCCAGATCACATAAATATAATGCAGGAAGAGGATTCTGAACTTTTATGCATGTTGAAAGCATGTTGTTGTGCAAATATGGTGATTAAAATGGCGTTGGAAGCAGTTATATAGGTGGCATAAAATTGCACAAGAAACAGAAAAAGTAGCATTTACGTGGTTCAGCAATTATGGAGAGATCATAATCGTTCAATATCGAAGTGTAGAGATTATAACTGAGTATTTCTCTCAATCTCACAAAAATCCAAGCCCTATTTATTCCCAAGTTCTCTATCTACGGAATCTTGCACTCACTTAATGCTGGGAATCACTCTATTCTAACTCTTGTTATTGTTCCTTTAAGTCTTACACTTTCTTCTCTCCCTTTTGTATCTTTTCTCCCCACCCCCCCAACACACACACACACTCTTTTTCGTTATCTACTAAAAATAAATAGAAAGTACCTATATCTATAGGCATAAAGGGCTTGGCCAATCCTTGGGCAATTATTATAACAGCATGCCTAGACCTTGTGCAATGAGGATTAAAAGAACAAATGCCTTCACCACAAGAAAAACATGGCAAAGAAGGTGACTTAATTTTACCCAAAATTGTAATCCTACATTAACAAGTACATAACATTGACATAATCAGCAGCCAAAATCAAGAGCAGCTTTAGCAAGTTATAATGTGCAACATTAAAGTAAGATTCAGAGTTATATTTAAGACCATTAAGACAAAATCACACAGAACTCACCAGTTCCTGCACCAGGGGAACAGTGATTCTCTGTCCAAGCAAACTCAGTTGTTCTAGAGTCATCTCCGCATCCCTCAAAGATCCATCCGATCTTGATGCAATAAGCTTTAGTGCATCCTTATCAATTTCTAAATCTTCCTTTGTTGCAATCCATTTTAAAGTATAGATTATATCTGCATCCTTCAATTTTGGGAAGAAGAATTTCTGGCACCTGGATATTATGATATGAGGCAAGACATCAAGACTTGAGCTGATGAGGACAAAAACAACATGCCTAGGAGCTCGGTCAAGGACCTTCAGTATTGCACTCCAAAAATCATGAGACGAAGTATCACATTCATCAAAGATCAAGACTCTGTACTGAGATGGAAGCTGGGAAACAACCATGTTGTCAAGAAGGTCAGTAATGCTTTCAAAGTCAAAATTGCTTACTGAGCTAATTTCCCTTATGTTTCTGCTCTTCCCCATATCATATGCAACACAAGAATTGCAAAAGCCACATGGTTTGGGATGCTCCAAAGACTGGCAATTTAACGCTCTGGCAAATATGCTTGCACTGGAGGTTTTACCAGTTCCAAGAGGCCCATAAAACACATAGAGCAAACCGACCTTCCTTTTTGTAACTGCATTGGAAAGAGCCCGTGCTACCAAGTTCTGACCGACCAGATCTCTAAAAGTTCTTGGCATGTACTTTTGAGTGAGATTTTGATGCCTGCGGTAGCGGTGCCTTTGAAATTTTTGTTGCTCACCAGACCTACCTTCTGATACAAGGTCCGAATCAATTTCCTGCTTTAGTAGGTTGTCGGCATAAATCCCCAGCTCTCCAGAATAATCATGCAACCAACCAGCATTCTCCATACTTCCCCGAGATTCAGAAGCATCAAGCAGTAGAGGTAATGCTTCTGCATCAGGCTTAATAGAAGAACTCGAGTGCTCTGACGTGACTGGCCTATCAAAGACAACACTTCCTCGAGGATTAGAACTACCTATCTTTACCCTTGAGTCAGACAGGCCACAAGAAAGGCTACGTCCAGCCACGTCAATAAATGATTTCCCTCTATGATGGATCCTCGACCAGTTCCAAGGAATTCCGCACCCATTTCTCTGAATGCCAGTGATAGTCTGATCAGCATACTCTTTATCTCCCTTAACCATTCGATATTTCTGATGTGATCCATTTTGTGCAAATGAATTAGACGCTACAGACATTTCATTTTGAGCACCAGCATCTTGGCTAGCCACAGTGGCCCGAGTTTTTCTTGCACCTCGAAACTTATGCCTCTTTACCCTATTCAGACCGCTGTTGTAGCCACCTGCAGTGGTTCCTGCCGCGTCATCATTCTTTTCAATTTGGGCATTCTTTCCATTGCCATGGTTTCTAGAGGAAGCTGCATTATCACTTTCTGCACGGAACTCATTTAATTGGTCAGAGAGTGTCTTAAGGTGTACATCTTGACTATTGCTCCCACCCAGTTTAATATTTTTGTCTCTTGAATCAAAGTTCCCAGAAACATGGTCATCTTCTGTGTCATTTCTATCTTGTGGACGCTCGTGACTCCAGCAAATGACATCATTTCCCAGAAACCTTCCCCCCGACTCTTCTCTTTTGCCCTTTCTACATTCCTGCATAACACTCTTTCTGCTATGGTTGCTCACAGCTGGAACTGCCTGATCATTATGCCTGCTTACCTCACGAAAAAATTGGTCTTCTATTGGAGGCAAGCTTATCTCAATCCCTCTACCGTCTATAGGACGATCTACGCCTACAGACCGTCTTCCATTGACCATGGCATGACTTTTACCTGTTCTAAGAAGCACATTGAATGCAGGAGAATGCCATGAAGGTGGACTTGTTGATGGATCCCTTAAAGACCTTGACCTCTGAAGGAAGACGAGGTCCGTCATAAGGGCCCTATCAGCAGAAACTGGGCTATGCTTATGCATATGGTTCTTCAAATGAATGCAATTTGTCAAATGAATATGAGTTCTTAGATGATCACCAATATTACCATTCACATCCTTAAGTATCCGATCGTGAACAGCCCTGATCATGATCAGCACATGAATCGATCCAATAACGGAGATACTCTTGAATTAAGCCAAGATATAAGGAAATACTGCATACCCTTAGCTTAAAAACCGTCCAAGATCTTCTAGTTATTGCATCACAAAATCTATGCAACCCAATAACAATGCACGAACCATAGCCACCGAATATTCCAGTATGAAGCACCCATCAATGCAATACATAATAATACAAACTTACAACGAAAAACAGTCTCAAGTCCAATGATTACTCTCCCAAAACCCACGATGAACAAACCCTTCGACACAGTCCAAAACTTCTATTATTTTCAAAACAGAGTGTAAGAAATTTAAATGGTAAATCTCCAGTTCTTTTGAATTGAGCCAATCAAAAGACCGCATTCTGTCTCACCCTTTAGCTTTGGGGACCAAAACTAAAAGGGCTGTGGAAATTTCACAGAGACAGGGTAGTACAATTCAAAAGGCAGAGATTTAAAGAGCGTAATATAGTACGGTGAATGAGCAAAAAAAAAAGGACTCAAAAGAACACTACATTCACCTGAATCGTAGAGTTAGAAGCAAGTCAGCAACTACTTGTAAAGGATTCCTAGGCAAGTGACCCGTGGCCATCATTAAGCATCTCTCTCTAACTGTCACTGACTCAGATCCCTTTTTCCCTTTCTCCATACATTCACATGAATTTCACCAGTGGGCTTTCAAGAAAAATATAGACGACACCGCATATGTCGTGTGTATATATATAACTGTTTGTGTGGCTTTGTCTTGGGAAAGAGTAGAGAAAATCAAAATACTGTGTCGAATGCTGTGGAGATTTGGATTGGTATTAGTGGTCGTCTTGCTTACAGAGTGAGATTCGAAGTGCTGTAAGAGAAGGGCTATAGGGAGAAAGAAACAGTAACAACGTCTAGTGTAAGTACAGTGTACTGATATAGAGAGAGAAACCGAGAGGTGGGGTTGGGGTGCTGACATGTAGCACCGCAAACGCAAACAAGCGTCGAGTCCGTTTGTTTTTACCAAAGTTTAATTTACACCGAAAATAATAAAAACGTAAATCCTCAGATAATTTCACTGCGAATTTTTAATTCTAATTCTAACTAAAAAAAACTGATAATTATAAAACCACAGTAAATTATGAAAGTGGTATTTTCGGACAGATCAATGTAGTACAGCTGGCATGTTAAAATGTAAACAAAAATTAAAAGGAAATAAAATAAATACTATTTTCTGTTTTCATGTGAATATAGTTTTGAGATTTGCCAATCAGGCTTCATAGTTCCTTCAACTCTAGATTTTGCGATGCATTTCATCGTATTTTCTTCGTCGATAAGTAATTCATTTATAAAGAAAAATGGTGCAACCATTTGTCTTTATTAAAAATGATACCATAGTTATTCTAACTCTATATCCATGAAACATTACAAGAATATAGCACATTGGCAAGTCTTGTGCGAAAGCATTCTTGGAATCGATTAACTAGTATGTTATACGTGATTATTAATTATTTTCTATGGTGAAGTCAAACATTTTTTTTATCGTGGGGTCAAAAGGTAAGTTTTAAAGTTTACAACATTAATAAAGACTTTGCGACATGAGAAGAGACTTGGTCTGAAGTCTAAAAAATTGTAGTCGACACTAACTAGTTGTGCAGTGGTGGACGTTATTTTTTTGTGAAATTGATAAACCCTGCCATTTATGGGACAAATGAGAAATTAATTGATGGTGTTAGGAGGAAAAAAATGTGCACAACAGACCCCTGTCATTTTGGGCATATCCTGCGATTAACCTCCACCCATCACTGAGTGGCTGGGGATGGGTGGTCCAGGATATAGTCTAGTGTAAGTTAGGATACCTGGATATCAAAAAAAAAAAAAATAAAGGTCTCAATTTTAGGAAAACGGTCAAAAAATAATAATAATAATAATAATTTACCTTTGCCGAATAGAAACAAGCATTGTGCTCAAACAGTTGAGCGATAATCCTGTTTTTTGCCCTGTTTGAGTAGCATTATACATATTTCATACTTATGAGTTCGGCTAGAATTCTGCATGATATTTATTGAGTGTTTGACACCCATTTTGTGGGTTGAAAAATTTTGGAATAATGATTGATGAGAGAATGTGTTATGAAAAAGTGATTAAAAATTTTAGATTTGTGTGTAATATTATTTTATTTGGAGAATGTGTGGTTGAAATGAAGAAAGAAAGAGAACGAGTGTCGAACATAGGCTTAAGAAGGGAAGCGTTCCACGTACAGAATTTTTTTAATAAAATTTATACATGGTTCGGTGCACTTCGAATTTTCTATTTAAGAAATAGAAGACGGGCCACATTTTTTGTCGTCTAGTGCCGTGTTTTCAATATTTTTACTTTGTTGAATAAATAAATACTTTACAAAATTGGAGAAGTAGTGAATTACGCCTATAGCTTCAAAAGCCTGCTAGTAACCGCCACTTAAAACAGAAAAATTAATTACTAAAAAGGAGCGCTAGCCTGTTTGGTGTACATTTTTTAGGATAAATTTTGCAAAAAATAAATTTTTAAATAATGTATAATTAAATAATAGAAAAAATTACGGATAAATGAGAAACCCCATTAAAATGTATAATTAAAAATAAAATTTAATTATTTATGAATAACAGTCTTGACCTCTTGCCTCCTGTGAACAATATAAAAACTTGCCGCGAATAATAATAATTACAAAATTTTGCCAAACGAAGGCTAAATAGGGACAAAACAACGCAAAAGGGCGTGTTTAACTCGATACAAAAGCGTAGTACTTAACCCAAGTATTGATAAGCATGTACAAGAAAAAACCTTATTCAAAGATAGAGTTCTGAATAAAGATGTCCATTTGGACCACTATTTGGCCTGCTCTTCTGTACTTGAAAAAGAGCACAGTATATTAACAATGACAAGAAACGGCATGCTGCAATTTCCTGTCATGGGAAAGAGTTTACAACGGATATAGATAGAAAACGAGGACAATTAAGTAAAATGGGGTGATATAGAAACTGATTGACACCAGTAATTTACAGGTTTACAATCTCATTTTCAACTGTCACGGATCAGGTTAGCTGGTTCACTCAAAACGTACTTGGGTAACTCGTACTTCGCACCTGCAATGAAATATTGGATCAACTTAAAGAAATACTTGAAAGACGTTGATTAGACGAGCACAAATTGGAATGCAAACCTCTCTCATCATAGCAGACAGTTAAGTCGGGAAAGACTTGTTAATGTGGCCGTGAAACCACTATTGCTTGTGCGAGTGTTATATCAGCCTCAGCAGCTGCCCGAAGTGCATCCCAAATCTCTGATATGAATGAAAATATTTGTAGTTCACATATTGGTTTCTATCAGTAGCTTTACTTCACAAAGCTCCCATTTACACACTACGTGAAAGGAACGGTGGAGAAAAACATGGAATACCGAAGAAGCAATATCTTAGTTTCTTTCCCTAAATTTTAACGTGGCAAGGTATCCCAATCAACATTACTATAAAAAGAGGAGAAAATGAAGCGGGAAATAAAGCCCCAACTAAGAACACGGGTACATGACATGCAGGCAGGGTATAAACAAGGAAACCTGATACTTGCAATCAAGGTGAGCAAATTTCCCACGAGAACAATGAAACAAATATTAAACTTCACCATGCTGCCTACGGCTTCACTAAGGTGAATGAACCTCAATAATTGCCAATTTGGTTAGACAGGCAGCATATACTATAAAGGCATCACGACAAGAATAATTTATAAAGAATCCACCAATCACACAAAGTCCATTAGGTTGTAGTAAATGGATAACGCATTTTCATAAGAATTTATGGATGCACATGTCTCTGTGAAAAACTCCAGTTCTCCACCCAGAACCTAACCAGTGATTATCCTATTTTACCTTTGCAATTTTGAAACTAGAATCTGACTGACAACTTTGAACTTGCAATTGATTTCACCAGTACCTTACAAGGGCATCAAAGCACACAGGACACTACCATTGCTATCATGCTCTCTCAGATTGAAACTTGGAAAAGTTATGTTGGAATATGGATATTGGCATTAAGTGCCAACTCCAAAAGTCAAACTCACATCATCACCTTGACAACAAAGCACTATAACATATAAAGGCAATACTTCAAGTTTAAATAATGAGAAACAAGGTTTAATACAAGTGGATGCCAAAAGCTTGGAATTCACTTGGCACGTAGTAAATTGCAACAATGGAAAGTACATTAAGGGCTAAAGTAAGAATACAGCAATATCAGGAATGGTTCGAGCAGGAAAAAAAGGGAGGGTTAAGATGCTTTGGATTCAATCAAGAGTGAGATATAAAAGAAAATCAGGATGATTTAAATTCGAGTCAAGATAGTAAAAGCTAGTTCGAATATATTAAAAACTACCAAACTCTTCGCATTAACAGTGATGCTAATTCTATCATTCAACTAATAAACTATGTTGCTGCAGTGATATGTATCATGTATTTATTACAACTTACCATGATTCAAACCATCCTAAAACCTCATGGCTTGTTTTGGATAAAAATATTTTTTTTGTTTTTGTTCCTTCAATTTGTTTTCGTTAAGAGTTCTCAATTAAGAATGCATGCAATTTCTAACCCGATCTGTGTAGTAAAAAAACTGTTTAGATGTGTTTTTTTTTTCCGACATTTTTGTCTTCATTTTTTTAATTTTTTTGCCATTTTTTGGTTCCTTTTCTCTGTTTTCATTAAGAGTTTTCACTTAAGAATGAACTTAATTTCAGACACGGTCTCATGATTTTACATGAACTTGTTTATGTGATATGTGATGTTATTATATGCATGTTTAGTTTCTTCATGATCTTCATTTAGTTGTTTTTTGATCTAGAATAGGTTTGAAGTTTTATGAATAGACAAAACATAATTACTTTGCTTAAATGGTACATTGATTAATTTGATCCAAGAATATTAGAATGAGATACAAAATTATTCAAATCTTGTGGCATGATACTAATTCAAAACAGAGTCTTTGATAAATAGGTAACTCTTTATTTACTGCGTTGATATGTTTTGACGGGGAAAAAAAGTGCTTTCAACAACAGCGTGTTAAAGCTTCGGTTCAGAAACATCAATCATGTTGTACTAATTGAATCTAATAATGGGTACTATACTATATCTTGGAATCTAATCAAATTTTACACCAATTTCTTTGACAAGCAAGCTTTTAAGCTGATGTCACATCACTCATACTCGAAAAGCAAAATCTAAATTCATAATGCCGAACGTGCACGCGATTTACAGAGATTTGGACATCCTTAATGATTGAGCATACATACAAAGCCAATCATGAAGTATGTCCAGTTAAAAATCTGTGCAATCGTGCATCGTAGACTAATGATTGAGCATACATAATACTTCAGAAAGTTTACCTTTCCTGCCACCATAATGTGGAGCAGTGTCCCAAAACTCATCTCGCATCTGTATGAGTTGTGCCCTTGTTATTGGTTCTGAATGCTTCCATGGCTTGGGCTTGCGTATCTTCTTTGCTGTTTCTGCAATCAAACTTACAAGGAAATGACTCCAAAGAACTACAACTCTTTGAACAAGTACTGAAGCTACCAACCATCATGGACGCAGTGTCAGCAGGTCAAACAAACCTATTATATGCTATAAAACAGCTCTAACAGTTGAAAAATGAAGGAAATACAGAAATCAAATTATACTTCCACAATGTAGCCAACTAGGATAAGTTCAAGAACGTCGTTTCTGGCTTCTGACTTTATGCTTTGCCTTGATTTACTATGATTATTCTCCTGTTCCAGAAAAATCTCTACTCTCATGCCCCTTGCATAATATAATTAGATTTATATTTCAGTTCAAGAGTTTTATAATAAGAATTAGCATTAACCATACTTCAAGGTCAGGTATCATTTTCCAGGTACTCGTATTAAAGGATACTGAATTTGATGAAGCTGGTTCTCAGCAATTGCAGGAATATTAAATAAAAAAGGATTGAAAAAACTAGAGAAAACAAGCTCAAAGATATCTCTGCTGTATCTTAATCTCTGCTGTATCTTAAAAGCTGTAATCTGTCTTCCAAAAGGATCCCTGCAATTCAAACAATAAATCGACTCCCTTGCCATTTCAAACAATAAATCAAGTATGCCTATCCACCTGTAGCAGGATAAGGCACAAGACAAGAAGATGAAAGAGGTGCTAGGATAAGGAGCGCATGAATCTCTTCCAATTCATTGACAAGGCCTCAGCTATAATATTAACTATTCTAAATTATAACCCAAATTCCAGTGTTTTTTATCAACGCGGTGCTGGCATACTACTATACAGATTCAGTTTCATATCACTCAGTCGTGAAAAATAAGGTGTCTCAAAGTCAATAAAGTCTGCTGTAACGTTAATCAGAACAACCTGGCTTCTGCACTTATTTCTAATCATTTCCCGGTAAGTTTCATTCCTTGCATAGTTACCCAAGCACTAACGATGCCATTAACATGTTAGCATATGCTTATAATAGCATAAAACTCATCTGTAAATATTTATCATCGCAGCAAGTAGGACATTGATCCCTGGATATAACGATTATATAGGTGCATATCCACCGATGATCTTTCACATTAGAGGAAATAGATTTTGCAAGTATGATCCTTCAGATAATAAATCTAAGATAAGAGATCAGTACACAAACCATCAAACTGATAGCATAGTGATACAAACATATTAAAGGAAACAAGCTTAGGCCAGATCAAGCAAGCGATTGCACATCCAAAGACAATTATCAAAGTCCAAAGTCACTTTTTGGTTGCATATTTGCGTAAATAGAACTGCAGAAGTGCTAGTGAACTTAAATAATCCAATGTCCGGTATGTCAACAACTTGAAACACTAGGTATAGTTATACATCCCCAGAACAAATTCTTCAAACTCATATACTAAACAAGTTTAGTCACAAAACGATTGAATATTATCATTCTCAAATAACTAAAATATCAGCATTGCATTCATCCAACGTTTACTAACCCAAGCTGGTAAACTGAGTATGGCTAGCATTTTAGTTTGACTGAAGGGTACATTACAGTGACGTAACATTAAAAGTCCCACTGAAAAGAAAATAACTTGGACATGTATAATTCAATAGAACTTTGTTGAATAGACTTCAACGGGTGAATCAAAATGCCAAATGAAATGAAAACTCGTTTGGTTCCTCATAATTTGAAAGGGGATGCGGAAAATTTCCTAATAAATGAGTTGAAATCAGATATCCCAATTTTAGTCAATTTAGCCAGTACTAATTCAAAGACCTTAACACAAGTTGTCTAAATATCTCAAACAGATGTCCAAGAAAAGATTGCATACAATTACTCTGAAAAGTAAAATAAAAGTGCAAAAGTGAAAATTTCTATGTGAACGAACCACATTTCTAATTTTGCACTTCTTTCTCATGGAAAAACACCGAAAATCCAGCAAATGCTCATGAGTTTTCATGTGCAATTTATACGAAGAAATAAGGGGGAAAACGGAAGTTTACCTAATGAACACCTCAAGATTTAATCTAACACAACAAAAAGTCAAGCAGTACAAGAACCATAACAACATCCATCAAATTGCACGTGACAAAAACAGAGACCAGAAAATTTTCGTCGAATTATTCACATCCAAAATTATTCAAAAACCCACAATCAAATGGTCCAATAAGTAAATGCATAAACGAAGATAACCATAACAGTTTCTTGAAACATAAAATTTCAAGAAAATATTAACCGTCGATCAGACTTTCAAAAGACAATTACAAGTCAAAGATTACCATCTCCTTTATCGCGCGATCCAGCGCAACCCATGCTGTGCTTTCACACGCGATCGACGATTTGATGCTATATGTTTGTATAATCTTTTCGTTATTGTAAATGAAGATTCTTCGTACACCCTGTTTCAGTAGAGAGAGAAAAAGAGGAGTAGTAAACTACGATTCAACCCACAGTAAACAAATGGGAGGGGAGCGTTTCTGTTCCGAGAACGGTGAAGATAAAGTGTCAAAAAGAGTAAATTACAATGTAGGTCCCAAACCTTTAAAGTTTGTGACAATTATATCCTAAACGTTTGATTTCTAAAAAGGTCCCAAACTTATCAAATGTCTGCACTTGAGGTCCTTTTGTAACTGAAACTATCAATTTAACTGTTAAATGTCAAGTTGTTTAATTTAAAACAAGAAATAGTAAAT